ACAGTCTTTTATATCATGACAAGGATTAATTGAAAATTTCTATTCCTAAAACTTCTAAGGCAGATACAGCAATTGCATTAACATGGTGTACCATATAAAATGACTAGGTTATTTAGAAATGATCCAAAATAATTTTAGACCCAATAATTTTTGCCCAGTGTCTATTATGGACAGTGAAATAGCATGTGTATGCTTCTTTCCACTCATGCAGCTCGACAGTGCAGCCTCTTGCATATTGGCAATGTCAACACATTTATCATAAACTATGCGTTTAGTACTATATTTGTTTGATAAATCTTTGATGATCCATTCTTTGTACGTTGGATTTACAAGCCACTCCTGACTGAAATAACATTTACCCCTTTTTTTGCACCTATTTTCTGTGGATTTTTCCACTTGACTAGACCCCAAAACACTCAACAATTCCCCTCCCTTCAATACCACTGCTTGTACAGCTCTTTACACTTCTCATATTCTCACTACCACTGATTATGGATAGTAAATGCAAACTAAATTAAAAATATTCATTATTATAAGTTTCACTTTTATAAACAACTACTTAATTAGGCCTATAATCAATGTTTTTAGTGTAGCTTGTTTAAGACCTCACAAACTGATAGATTTTTCATATAAGAAATTTAAAAATGAGACAATGACATCATAAATTATGCAAACTTAATTTACAATTAGTCTCATCGAGAGATTTACATCTTTACAATGTTAATTGTCAATGCAAAGTTTTAAAAGGCTTACTGCAGTGCAGTAATGCATCAGCTGAAGATTAACATGCATGTTAACTAAACTCCTTGTTTTTAAATATCAGTTTTATCAAAATATCAGTAAATGAATTTTCAGATAGCTGGTATTACCCATATGGTCAAATACCGGCCAATAACAGGCATATAATATCAGTAACAGAACCTTTCTAATTTTCAACTATATAAAATTGATCCTTCCGTGGTATTTCTATGACAAGAGAGTCTTTAAGTGCATTCCACAAAAGAGAGAAAGAGGGTGCCATTGTCACTTTTGACCATAATCTATAGATTGGTTTTATATGTAATTGTTTGAAAAGTTATAAAAATTATTTTCTTTTAGCCTTATAATACTCAACATCTTTTAGATTGTAGATTTGGAACTTTCATTGGTATAGAAAGTATATGATTCCTTGAAACATATGATGAAAGAAAATTATAAGAAAGATTTTATTTCTCAAGGACTAGTTAAAGAACATAATAAGGAAATCATTTTTCAAATACTTTCAAGGTGTGTATATGAACCCTGAAAATAGTATTTGCTATGTACAGTTGCTGTTTATTTATTATTTTAACCAACTGGTTTAAAATGTGTAGGCAATTTTTCAACAAAATTATAACCAATGCATAAAGAGAAGGCATCTAGTGCAATATACTAGTTCAGATTTGAGTAACTAGAATTTAATAAGCTTCTGTACTGAAAATAAAAATGTTTATGAAGATTAATAGCAATGGTACAAACTGTTGATTGGACATAACTGGCTAAAAAATGTCAAAACTGACAAAGTCATGTGGTTTTAATAATTCAATAGAGATTTTAGCAGATGTTCCTGATGACCATTGTTATGTAAATTAGATTAACCTAACAATAACAGAAAAATAAAATATGTCATGCTTGAAGGCTTATTATTTATATCAAATGGTTTAAGGTAGTCTGAAAACTTTGTGAAATTTCTGTAAAATTCCAGAAATTTCTCTTACCATCATATATATGCACTCGTATTTTCCCAATATATCCAATTATTTGGAATAAGTATACACGTAAATCTTTTTTCTTTAACTGCATAAGAATGAAACTTGGTGCTAAGAAACTCTTGAACAGAGGTAAATGATAAAGAATTTCTATGAAATTAGCTCTCCAGAAAGTGAATTATGCTGAACTTTGTAATGTTACAGACCAAACTTCTGGATTATAAAAAATGCAATCTTACAAAAAGTTTTAAAAATTAACATCTGAAATGTATGTTTGCTGTATAATGCAATAAAAAAACATTAATGTTTATCTTTTGTTTTTCAAAGCCATATAAAAACATTACAGAAACATCAGTTAGGAAATAAATCTAGAGAAAGTATTTTTTTTGCACTCAGCCTAACATGCAGCTAAAATTTATTAAAACTAATTTTACTATTATTGTTGGTCCAAACATGTTAGTATTTTTACTACACAAACATGAGCTATTACTGAGCAAACTGTGACATGCACGTTTGTTTTAATTACTAAAACTTCACCGATTCATAGTAGCCAGAGTGACGCATATGATCATCCAAAGCGCGATATGCTCGACGGTGTTCCACTTGATCTATGATGTGGTGTTCTTGCTCTTGCTCTCTCAATTCAAGCTTGGAGCAAAAGGATAACATTTAAGGTTTAGATGCAAGATTCAATTACATACTAATGTTGAAATGGCTTTTACAATGAATAAGAACTAATACAAGTAAACTAGAAAAAAATATTAATTTAAAAACAGCTTAGAAATAAATATATTACAATAAAAATTTGAAAACATTAATATTATCCATGAGATTTTTTCAATGGCAATCACCATCATTTTGATTATTGGGATAAGTGTTTAGAAAGAAAAGTATTATATATATATATATATATATATTGAAAAGAGACACACATAAACTTACTGTTGTCAACCTCTCCAAAGCTGCAAATCTCTCCTCTTGTGCTGCTGCTGACTTTTCAAAGGACTCATGCTTTTTGATTAGCTGCTCAACTTCATCAATTGTCATCTATAATAAAACTGTACCATTATTCAAAACATCCTGCAGTGTTGAAAATTCTGCTTTCTAAATACTGTTACGCATGTTTGTCCCGAATTTTCCACATATGATCATATGGAAGGCAATGGAATAGGCAATTTTAGGCTCATAATTCCTTACACAATAAAGAAAACTGAAATATATTTGAGAACAGATTTTTAACTAGCATTTATTTTCTTAGTATTAGCTAGAACACATATTAACAACTTCTTACTTTACTTCATGACGGACCTTATTGAGAGCAAAACCATTTTTAAGCTACACATAAAAACTAGCTTGGAATAATCAACAATAACTGTAAGGTATGAATCTACAAGTAAATAGAATAAAACTTAAGACTCATTACTCACACTATTTAAACACAATCACATCATAATAAAGTGCTGAGTTCCAATGTATAAACAAACACCATACACCCAAGCTAGTTCATGTTATATATTTTACGTTAGAGCAACTGATAACAATTATTCCTTACTAATTTAAATCTTAAGGATTAAAGTGTTCTTATCTTATCTGTGATGTTCATGATAAAATTAAATTCTTCATTAGAAAAAACCAAAATTTACACACAAAAAACATTGATGCTGATAAAATTTTTAATGCCCTTAAAAAGGTGCTTTTAACCCATTTCTGTATCATATTTCATTTTCAATATGATTTTGTGCAGTCATAATTCATGCTAATACAGATATAACTTTTAACTCATACACTATATCTTGTCCTTAAAATGTTTAATGCAAATAAACCTTTCAACTCTAGCTTAAAATTAATTTACAGAGTATTTAATTACAATTTTATGAACACTATTTAATTTACACTTACACAAAAAAAAACCTTTTGTGCTAAATATATAATAACAACATGAACATGTGTATTAATCTTGCAGTGAAAGTAATTGCAATGATATATGGCCTTTACATGTTCTAGTAAGCACTATTTGTCAGCTTTTATGCAAGTCACTACAAAGTAGACAAGAAAAAAAAATTAAAAAAAAAAGATGTAAATGTAGGGATGACTAATATCAATTCTTCAAAAAAATGCAAAAAAGATAATAGGGATGGTATTTACATAATCCCTATGTAATAGCACAGGCACACAGTATAATAGAATGTTAACTCTCTCAACACGGGCTTGGTCAATTTGACCAACAACATGACATCTTTGTGCTTATTTAAAGTCTTTATACATTTAATACTTCTAACTTTCAATATAGTGTGTATATCTTCACAAAATTTGGCAGGCTTTCAGTTAATATTATAAGTCTTTCACATACAAAAAATCATATTTATTAGTGAAGTATTTTTAATAAAATAAAAAATTTTCCACAAATGTATTGAGTATTTGTTTTGAATAGCCCGTATGCAAAGTAATTTTCATGTTAAAGTTAAAAATACTTTTCCTCATCTAAAATTTCCTTTGTGTAATCCCTAAAACCTCCTAAATACATTTCAAACGATTTTTTTCAGTAAAACTTTATAGTTTGTCCGTTATTTTCTCTATCCTATCTCAAAACAAGATTTTTCAATTTGACCGACTTCATAACCACCAAAAACAAAAAACCTAAATAAATCTAAATTACCCTTTTTTTTCTTTCTAGAATGACTTCAAATTGTAACATGTTTATCCTAAGTAGCTCTAAATTCGTAACAGTATACATCTATTTATAATTAAATTTTATTGTTTTATTGCCCTTTGAACCCTGTCTAACTACTATCCGCACCATTACAAGTTGTAAATCACTCAAGGAACTTATCA